GCGGCGGCGGCGCTTGCTGCCTCTGCGCTCCCCCTACTTGCGGAACGCCTTGTTGCGCCACTCCGCCTCCCCCTCCCCCTCCCCCGCCTCTCCCCCGACCCCGCGCCCCCCCCATGGGCCCCGTTCTTCCTCCCGATTCCCCCCTTCCCCCCAATACCCCCCTTCCGGCCGTTCCCCCCATTCCGCCGGTCGGTGCAAGCCCTGCTGGCCCTGGCCGCGCTTTTCTCCCGCTCCCGCCCACCTCTTCCTCGTAATCCGGGTACGCGTCCCCGTCAGCTGCGTACTCGTCGATGTAACCGTACGGCGCATGGTTGTAACCCTGCTGCGTTACAGCATGTCCGACTCCGCCGGGTTGGGGGGGACCGGCGGAACCCCCTCTGCCGCGCGGCTGCTGATTGAGCTGCTGCTGCTGCTGCTGTCCCGCATACTGTCGCTGTTGATTCGTTATAGGCTGATTCGACTGTAGCCTTGGCTGCTGCTGTTGCTGGAAGTCACTTATGCCGTTAGCGTACGGAGCTTCGCCTCTCAGGGCGGCTTGCCCAGCCTGACCGCGAACCTGAGGCATCTAGTAGCTTTGCTGAGATTCGAACCCGCGACCTTGAGAGTCAGTCCCGACACCCTTCATGCATCATCCCCACTGCCACGTGTCCAACGTTCATATCCCTGTCGGCGCCGCTTAAAGCCAAATTGCATCTCGTCAACTGACGCTTAACCCGAAAATACGCCGTTCTCGTTCGACTATTGCATCTCGTTCGAGCGCGACTTCTACATGGTAAAAAGCATGCGGGAAATGATCGTACCTATGCTTGCAGCTTACCTATATAGTAAGCTATACACGTTAATGCTAAACAATCCGAGAACGTAGAACTTAGGTAAGAATAAATATACGTTAGAGCTAAACCAGGCCGTAATCTCGTGCGCAGACCATATAAACTTCTGCTCAAACTGTCCTAAAACCTTAGCGGCCTTAGGATTGCCAAAACAGACAGCTGCACAGGCAGTGGGTGTTGGTGGGGTGTACGGAAAAACAGGTGCCAGAACAACAGTGTCTTGAAACTCCCAACTTCCAAGGTTCCGGTCTGTCTGAACTGAACTCAGGTCGCAAGGCTGATGGGAAGTGGCAAAACTGGAACCTGGGAGATGGCAACTGGCAACAAGGAGAATGCCGAACCGAAGTTCCACATGAGCAGCAAAACTGGCACCTGGAGAGAGAGGGAGGGAAAAGAGGTGGGTGGGGGAAAACCTATCAGCGTTCTAGCCAGCCCAGCCCAGCCACCAAACAGCCATATACGCGTTACTGTATCCGTATCCGCTAGAACATTGGGCGATCGTAGAAGAAGGCAATAAGCCTTTTGAAACAATAACAGGAATTATGTTTGGACCTAGTATTCAACATAATGGCATTCGTTTATACAACTATCTGTCTATATATCAAAGCATCTATTTTACCTGTATAATGTTAATTCGTGAATATAAATATATCCGTTTCTCTTAGCCATGCAGAAAGATTAACATGAATATTTCAAGTATCTCTGTTTATGATTCAAGCCGTACTTTGGCATTGATATGTATACTATGTCGTTCACGTGAGCTCAACAGCGGGTTTAGCAGCTTCGGATGACTGCCATGCCACAGACGTCGAACCACGAAACATGTGTGGCCTGGATCCGGATCTGGGTCCATGTCGCGTCAAATTGGCATTGTGCGCAGTGCCCACTACCCACTCTCAGATGGCGTTCCTGAGATGGGGCCCCATCGATTGCTATGGTCGGTGCAACAACATTGGTCCAGCGTGGCATAATTCGATTCTGGTCACACCCACCACACGTGCCTGGCGACAAGAGTCGCCTAGGGCGAAAAACATGAAAGATTTGGGTCAAGCAATCACATGCTTTTGTACTCAACGTTCATGCGACAAGTTTTAAAACCAGGGTGCACATTCAACGCGGTTCGGCTTGAGATGTTGGGAAGGGGGTTTGGAGAAAAACAGTGATTGGCTCACTAGGGGCGACAAAAAAATGATTCCGCTAGAGCTTCGGGCATTTCGTAGGTGGCGGGAGGGGGTGAAATGGCGGGAGTGGGTGAAACCGAATGGCGGGAGGGATGAAACAGATTGGCGGGAGGGGGGGGAAACGAAATTGCGGGGGAGGGGGGAAACAAAATTACGGGGGAGGGGGGAAACGAATTTCGACGGGGAGGGGGAAATGAAATTGCGGGGGCGTGGGGAAACGAAATTGCGGGGGAGGGGGGAAACGAATTTCGACTTGAAGGGGTTGAAAGCACACCTCGTAACCCACTCAGCCAAGGGATAACCTTTGATGCACATTCAGCTGAATGTGCACCCCGGTTTTAAAGCGACGGGCAACTTTTGGCAGTGTTGGGTTCAGAAGTTTTTTTTTTGAACCAGGCTTGCCAGCGCGAAAGTGCTGGCTGGCGAAAACCAGGATTTCGTGCGGACACTTTCCATCCGCAGTAACAGTTCGTCAGGGTTCTGGGTTTTGGGTGGCAAATGTGCACCGTCGCTTTAATGGCCAATTCCAACCAAGCCTCGCAAAAGTGCTCCAATTCCAATCCAGTCACGACTGGGTTCCGTGACAATAAAAAACGACAGTCGTTCTGACGTTTGACGTCAGGGAAGTTGACGGGCGGAAAAATCGCACGACCATCAGCTCCCGACTCATGCGACGTCCACATTCACCCACCCCTTTGCGGCCATGCCACAGGCACGTGCTCTGTGAACTGTAGCATGGTGAAATTCGGATGGGGCCCCATCTCAGGAACGCCATCTCACACCAGTGTGGTGCGGGTGTCTGCAGCATTGACCACCAATCCGCGTCGTTGGTTCTCCTTGTCACTTTCGCTAGTTTCTTCCATACGAAACCACTCGATACCGTACAAGAACGGAGCGAGTCGTTCTCCTTGTCAGTTACGACTGTGGAGCAAGTTGCTCAATGTTCGACCCACTTCTCTCCCTTGACTTTTCTTTTGTGCGTCTAGTCTAGAGCCCATTCACATGTGGATGGTGCGGCATGTTCGGGCTCGTTTCAGACTCGGGTCACAGCTGCTTTCCACATCAGGTGAGATCTTCGTCTGTAGAAAATACAACACTTAGCACTTGAATGCAGAAAAGTGTCAGCACTGGAGGTGTCAAGGGCCCACTTTCCCTGCAAAATACAGTGAGGTAGCGAGGTAACGGCAGCAGCTGCAGCGGCGGCAGCAGCAGCAGCAACTGCAGGGGGGCGCACCGCCCAGGCAGAGGAGGTCTTGATCAAAGTTGCACCGAGTGCGGAATGAAAGTTGCACATTGCACAAAGAAGCAACTGCGGGCCGAATGCAAGCCCACAAAGATGTTCTCATCCTCATCCTACTGTATTTGGAAAGTGCTTCCCTTGCTTGATTGATTGATATGGCTGAAATGACGGCCATTGTTCCGTCTTCCTGATCACCGCATTTTCTTCCTCTCCAGTTCTCGGGAGTGCGGTTCAGAACTGTCGCGAGTCGTGACCTCTGCCTTGATCACGATTTTTGTTCTTCATTGCTGTCTTTTTGTAATTGTTTCGCCGCAACTGACGGCGGAATTTACGGGCATGGCGACCAGCGTGCAACAGCGCATGCAGAGCTGTAGATTAAAGCTGCAGCCGCTCCGTCTAGATACTCTGAACCAGGACGACCCCGAGTTGGGGGACTATCGCGTAAGCGAGTCTTGCCGTACCGCGAACGATCTTGTTTCGCAAAAGAGATGGGTTCGGAAAAAACGATCGGTGGAAAAACGGCGAGTATCGTACCCAGTGATTCAAATGACCCAATCCGCTGGTAACACAGTAACATTCTCTTTGGCGAAAGCCGAATCGGTTCTCGCGAAGCAACACGTCGTTGCAGCTCCAACGAGGCCAGCGGAATGGTTTCTAGCGGTTCCTGATTCGCAGGGAAGCTCGAGGCGCGGAATCGCCACGGTCGCACGCCGACGACGCGCTGACCGCGACGACGACGATGACTACGCCGCCGACGACGACGACGGAGACATCGACGAACCCGTGTGCGACGACTGCGACGACTTCGGCGACGATCTCGGCGACGCCACCGGCGACGCATCCAGCAGCAACAGCGATTTCGAGACGAACGAGATGGATCAGATGTTCGGTGAGTTCAGCCGCACGAGCAGCTTCGCAGAACCTTCCACAGGAAGGTCGACTTCGTCGCAGGGGCAGCAGAATTTCCGCGGGGGAGCAAGCATGTCTCAGCCCGCAACTCCCGCTGCGCCGCGAGCGACGCCGCGTGCTGTCCCGGCGACGCCTTTCACGCCGTCCGCTGCCGCAGCCGCCGCCACGACGCGCCGCTTTCTGTGGTCGTGCGAGGAGTCGGAGGAAGACGAGTGCGCCGCGGAAGAGGCGGCTGTCGAAGCGCGTTTTCCGCGACTCCCACCGCTTCCCACACCGACCGGCAGCGGTAGAGGCGGTGGGTATGGAGCAGGCAGAGATGGCTCTTTTAACGGGAAGGATTGTAACGGGAAAGCGGTGTTGCGTAGGCGGTCGCTGTCTTGGTCGGACCTGTCGTCGTCGGAAAGCGAAGAGGACAATAACGGGGATACTCTGAAGGCGGTAGGAGGTAGCAGGCGCGGGGCGGAAGGTACCAGCACCGTAGCGATTGGCACTTGCGGAAGAAGCGGGGATATCAGTGGCGGAAGAAGCAGGGAAATCAGTGGCGGAAGAAGCGGGAAAGGCCGCGTTGTATTAGTTTCTCGCGCGTCAGAAGGGGGGAATGTTGGGGCGCGAACAACAGGGGCGGAATGGGGGAGAGATGGAGGGGCGGACCGGGCGGATGGGCATGCGCGGAGGAGCGACCAACGGAAGCGCAACCTTAAGAACCGCGCCGCTGCGGCGGCAGCGGCGGCGGCGGCGGCGGCTGTAGGCGCAGCTTCTATCTTAAAACGCACCAGCAGCTTAAGGCGACAAAATAGTCTCAAAGAACCTGGGGTGAGGGACCTCCTCGGTAGCGCGCATTTAGAACGGGGAGGGACGCCATGGGGGAGGGCAACGGTGGCGGGTGCGCGGATGCGCGCGGCTACGGAGTGCGCGCTCGTAGGAACAGAGGGTGCGCGCGCGGCAACGGGGAGCGCGCGCGCGCTCAACACTGCGGAGTTGAGGAGCGTCTCCTTTGCGGCGGAGTGTCAGCGGAACGGCGAGGGGGAGTGGCATGAAGGCTCGCCGCCAGTTGCGGCGCCTAGGAAGTGCTCGCTCGAGAGCGCGCGGACTCCGCGCACAGGGCAGCGGGGCAGCAGCGGCGGCAATAGCAGCAACGCGCGGGGCAGCAATGGCGCGGGAAAGGGGAGTTGTGGTGGCGCGAGCGGGGCGAACGGGAGGTTTGGGGGAGCAAATGCGGAGAAGGGGAATTTTGCGGGGATCAGCAGTTTGCGGAGCCGCGGGCGGGTCGCGTCCATGCCGGAATCGGCGATTCGGTCGCTGTTGAGCGGGTGGCAAACAGCAAGCTTCGATAGTGGCACATTGGATACTGTAGAAATCAATAAAGCAACGGATGTTGAACCAATGGGTAGTGTAGCAAGAGCAGCATCGGACCGTGACAGTAACGAGTTGGGTTTTGTGGAAGAGGCTGGTTTTCAGGCACCCTCAGCAGCAGGAGCGACAGTAACGGGGGGAGCAGCAGAGTCGCATTCAGGGGAGGGAATGGGGATGGGACCAACGAGAAAGCATCGGCCGCTGCAGCGACAGCTGTCGAAAGTGCTTGGGAGCATGAAGGAGCGAATAACGAGGACCGCATGGACAGAGGGATAGGGGGGCAAGGGAAACAAGGGGATTGGTGGGGTGCCTGGGAAGATGAGGGAGGGGGGGGGGGGAGGGGGAGGGGGGGAATGATAAGGAGGTTTGAGAGGAGGCAGATGTCTGTGGGGCTGGAAGAACAGGTGGGAGCATGAAGGAGCGAATAACAAGGACTGCAGGGACAGAGGGATAGGGGGAACAGGGACGACCGAAAGATAGGGGGAACAGAGGGATCGGAGTGACTGGATAAACAGGGGGATTGGGGTGCTAGGTAGGGAAGATAGGGGGAACAGAGGGATAGAAGTGACTGGAGAAACAGGGGGATTGGGGCGCTAGAGAAGATAAGAGGGAATGTCGGTAGGAGGGTGTCGAGGAAACTTTTTCCTCGGGCCAATAGAAGGGACAGGGTCACACGGATCAGTGAGGCTGGACGAACAGATGGGATGGGAGCAAGGGTGGTCCTCCTAACGAATAACAGGGGGTATGAGGTGCTAGGGAAGATAGGGGGAATGCCAGTAGGTAGGAGGAGGGTGTTGAGGAAACATTCTCCTCGGGCCAATATAAGGGACAGGGATCAGTGAGGCTGTACGAACAGATGGGATGGGAGCAAGGGCTTTCCTCCTAACGAATGTAACTTGGCCTGCTGTCTTTTGAGACGTCTCAAAAGTGTTGAGGAAACATTCTCCTCGGGCCAATAGAAGGGACAGACAGGGTCACAGGGATCAGTGAGGCTGTACGAACAGATGGGATGGGAGCAAGGGCGTTCCTCCTGACGAATATAACTTGGCCTGCTGTACGGTAGCATAGCAGGTGCATGTGTCTTCTGAGCAGATTCACATGGTGGCTTATCATGAGTTTACCAGTAGTAGGTATGTAGCAGCAGCAGTGTTACAGTGTAGTGGGAGACAGTACCGTACTTTGACATCATTTACATAATTCACATGATTCAGCCAAGCATCCAAGGTACCCATGAGTGGATTCAGCCAAGCTAAATCGCATCCCTACCATACGGTACCGTACAGTACCATACTGTACCACCGAAACTTCCAACAGTGCCACATGCAAGCTTAGGCACAGCGAGACAACAGACCAGGGTAGTTCCCTGGAAAGGCCAGGAACCCCATAAAAGGGCATGTTCCTACGGCTCCTTACCAGGGACACCTCGTATCAGCTTCGCATTTTTGCCTGGTAGGATTCGCGAAGGTTTTTGGGTTTAGGAAATTTCAGTGTGTTGTGACGCGAGCCTGATAAGAGGTTGGCCTGATAAGGGGCTGTAGGAACATGGCCTAATAGAGTAAAACGCACACCATGCATGCATACGGTAGCTTACAGGAATTTGGTTTGTGCTACAGTACAGCCGCTCGCTTGGATGCTACGGTACCAGGGGCACGTGCAGGGAAGCAGGCTGGGATCCCCGGCCTGGCAGAAGGCATTTGAGTCGACTCAAAGTAAAACATTAGACCACCACTAGTGGTATCTCTGAGTCAACATCAAATCACCAGCAGTGCTATCTCTGGTTGAAGCATGCAGCCGCTCGCTTGGAAATGCCCAGAGGCACGTGCAGGGGAAGCAGGCCTGGCTCCCCAGCCAGGCAGAACCCGCAGACCCCGTAGAAGGAATGCAGGATGTCAGGGAACCCCCCTGGATGCTTGCTGAACCCCCCGTACCTCTGTGGTGGGAGAGAGGGAGGGGTGAGGGAGGGGAGGATCAAGAGGAGCAGAACCCACAGACCCCGTAGAAGGAATGGAGGATGTCAGGGAATCCCACTGGATGCTTGCTGCTGCACCCACCATACCTCAGGCAGGAGAGAGGGAGGGCGGGAGAGAGGGAGAGAGGGGGGAAGGGGGGAGAGGATAAAGTGAGGCAGCACCAGCAGACCCCGTAGAAGGAATGCAGGATGTGTGGGAATCCCCCTGGATGCTTGCTGAAACCACCATACCGCTGTGAAGGCAGAAGGCAAAGAGAAGGGAAAGCAGAGGGGGGAAGGGGGTTAAGAGGGGCAGAACCGGCAGACCCCATCGAAGGAATGTCGGACGTCCGGGAATTTCCCCAAGTACTTGCTGAACCGCCCGTACCTCTGCGGATTCAAAAGAGGGGGGGAGGGGAGAGAACGAGTACCGTATGACATGTGCGTCTCATCCATAATTACTGGACACAAGTACTGATGAGTCACTCAGTTACTGGCGAAGGAAGTGGAGGCTTTGAGAAAGTGAAGAGGCGGCGCTGGTGGTTGACCGACTCACTCGCTGCTGATTGACCCACTCACTGTGTTCTGGCAGGTGAAAAGGAAGCTTCGGAGGGCTGGGAAGTCAATGAGGTGGTCTGCTCCCAGCATGCTCAGTGTGCTGCCCACCCTGTGAGAGAGTTGTAAGGAGGGGATGGGAGGTGGTGAACAGCAGTATGAGAGGAGAGTGAAAGTGCGCCTTGAGCATGGTCAATGAGGTGATCTGCTCCCAGCATGCTCAGAGTGCCACCCACCCTGGGTGTGTGAGAGGGAGGGAGGGCATGGGAGTGGGTGGTGAACGGCAGCATGAGCTGGGCGTGAAAAGTCCGCTGCCAGCATGCTCAGTGTGCCGCCCACCCTGAGAGAGAGTGAGAGGGAAGGACAGGAAGGGAGGGAGGGCACGTAAGTGGGTGGGAAAATGGCAGTATGAACAGAGAGTAACAAGTGTGCCCCGGGCACGATCAATGAGGTGATCTGCTCCCAGCATGCTCAGTGTGCCGCCAACCCTGAGAGAGAGAGAGTGAAGCGGGGAGAGAGACAGGATGGGAGTGGGTGATGAATGGGAGTATGAACACAGAGTGACAAGTGTGGGACAGGTGTGCCCGAGCACGGTCAATGAGGTGGTCTGCTGTCAGTATGCTCAGTGTGCCGCCCACCCTGTGTGCGTGAGAGAGAGGGAGGGCATGGGAGTGGGCGGTAAATGGGGGCATGAGCAAAGAGTAACAAGAGCGCCCCGAGCATGGCTGTGATCTGCTCCCAGCATGCTCAGTATGCCGCCCACCCTGGGAGAAAGTGAGGGAGAGGGGATGGGAGTGGGCGGTGAATGGCGGTATGAGCAAAGAGAAACAAGTGTGCCCTGAGCATGGCTGTGATCTGCTCCCAGCATGCTCAGTGTGCCGCCCACCCTGGGAGAAAGTGAGAGGGACAGGAAGGGAGGGAGGGCACGAAAGTGGGTGGGGAAACGGCAGTATGAACAGAGAGTAACAAGTGTGCCCCGCGCACGGTCAACGAGGTGATCTGCCCCCAGCATGCTCAGTGTGCCGCCCACCCTGGGAGAGAGTTGCAAGGAGGGGATGGGAGTGGGTGGTGAACAGCAATATGAGAGGAGAGTGAAAGTGTGCCCCCAGCATGGTCAATGAGAGGATCCGCTCCGAGCATGGTCAATGAGAGGATCCGCTCCGAGCATGGTCAATGAGATGGATCCGCTCCCAGCATGCTCAGTGTGCCGCCCACCCTGGGATCTGAGAGAGAGGGATAGGAAGGGAGGGAGGGCACGTAAGTGGGTGGGGAATGGCAGTATGAACAGAGATTAACAAGTGTGCCCCGTGCATGGTCAATGAGATGGATCCGCTCCCAGCATGCTCAGTGTGCCGCCCACCCAGGGATCTGAGAGAGAGGGATAGGAAGGGAGGGAGGGCACGTAAGTGGGTGGGGAATGGCAGTATGAACAGAGATTAACAAGTGTGCCCCGCGCATGGTCAATGAGATGGATCCGCTCCCAGCGTGCTCAGTGTGCCGCCCACCCAGGGATCTGAGAGAGAGGGATAGGAAGGGAGGGAGGGCACGTAAGTGGGTGGGGAATGGCAGTATGAACAGAGATTAACAAGTGTGCCCCGCGCATGGTCAATGAGATGGATCCGCTCCCGCATGCTCAGTGTGCCGCCCACCCAGGGATCTGAGAGAGAGGGATAGGAAGGGAGGGAGGGCACGTAAGTGGGTGGGGAATGGCAGTATGAACAGAGATTAACAAGTGTGCCCCGCGCATGGTCAATGAGATGGATCCGCTCCCGCATGCTCAGTGTGCCGCCCACCCAGGGATCTGAGAGAGAGGGATAGGAAGGGAGGGAGGGCACGTAAGTGGGTGGGGAATGGCAGTATGAACAGAGATTAACAAGTGTGCCCCGCGCATGGTCAATGAGATGGATCCGCTCCCGCATGCTCAGTGTGCCGCCCACCCAGGGATCTGAGAGAGAGGGATAGGAAGGGAGGGAGGGCACGTAAGTGGGTGGGGAATGGCAGTATGAACAGAGATTAACAAGTGTGCCCCGCGCATGGTCAATGAGATGGATCCGCTCCCAGCATGCTCAGTGTGCCGCCCACCCAGGAGGTGACCCAGAGTGATACACGTAAGAAGGTGTATCAGGAAAGGGATAGGCTGGGAGGTGACTCTAATGAGGGGCTGGGAGGTGACTCTAATGACGGGCTGGGAGGTGACTCTAATGACGGGCTGGGAGGTCAATTGATGCTTCACGTAAAAGAAAAGCAGCAGCAGGAAGGGGGAGAGCCCACCAGAATGCATAGCATGTGTCGGCTGGCTTGTTGCGCCGCCCCTGGAAACCCCCCTCCGCTCCCTGCCTCTGCTCTCAAGGGAGAAGAGGTGGCGTCAGGTGGGACAGGGTGGGATGGGTTGGGATGGGGTGGGATAGGATGGGATGGGGTGGGTTGGGAGATGATGGAACAGATGATGCAGTGACGTTGCGTTGTGCAGTGAAGGTACAGTGGAGAATATGGTGCTATTTGTTTAACCAGCAGAGCCCACCCACCACCCCACGCAAACAGAAGAGAGCAAGAGTCGACCTGGGAGCAAGGGTCGATAAAAAAACAACAGCCGAAAAGGGAGAGAGTGTGATTATGAGAGCATACCTGAAGGCACCAGTCGATCAATGGGAGCACGTAGGGGGACGAGAAAAGGGAGCTGCTTGTCTCCTCTTCTGCTGCTGCTTGCACGCCTGCAGCTTCTGCCTCCTCTTGTGCACCTGCTGCTGCATTTGACTCACTGCGTGAGCCAGCTACGGGTGTTGACAGCAATTGCAGCAGCGGCGACAGTGGCAGCGGAAAATGTGATAGCTCTGCTGCCACTGCCAATGGCGCTGCTGCTGCTGAAGCTGCTAATGATGCTCCTGATGACGTTACTGGTGATGCTGTTGGTAGTGATGATGACGCTGCTGTTTTTGCTCCTGGCGATGAAACTGCTGCTGCTGCTGCTGCTGCTCCTGATGATGACAGTAACGATGACGCTGAAGCTGCTGCTGTTGCCGCTGCTGAAGACAAAAGCTCTGATGTTGAAGACGCAATGAGCTGCAGGGCGGCCACGGCACAGTAGGTGGCTCCTCCTGCACACAAAATAGGTCACATTGGAGCCACAATAAAGAAGTTGATGCTGTGGTATTAATGACTAATGGCAATCTCAAATTTCAGGACTAAGGGTCCCCTCGGCCACGTTTCCCCCTTACCTCCCCAACTCTTTGAATTCTATATGCTCCCAAGCACAAAGTAACAAACAAAAGAGAGATAATCTGCGTCGGGCGCCTCCAGAACATGCAACGTCAACCAGAAGGAGGAAAAATATATGGAAGGAAGGTAATATTCGCAAGCTAGCTACCCACCATGAGCTTCGAAGCCTGGGCCAAGGCCAAACCCGCCATCGAAGGACTGGTGGAGAGAGATGGGTGGAGAAGGAAGGAATCAAGCCCGTGGGGAGAATGGACGGGAAGGAAAAGGTCTTAAGAGAAACTGTCTTGATAAGGACTTAGCAGGCTTGTAATTCATTCATCCACCCACCCCTATCCCCCCCAGTTTTCCCGATTCCAACCGTTACACATCTCAAATCACCATGCAACGTGCAGTCAACCCGGAACAGCCCCTCCCCCCCGCTCCCCCATTCCCTCTCCCCCCACTCTCCCAGCTCACGCCCACTCGTGACCTCTGAATGTAGGCAACAGCACGGGGGATGTCCACTCCCCGCCAATCACCACGCCCACAACGCACCACTACACTACGCACCACTCCCCACTACTCCCCACCAATCCCCACCACTCCGCCACCATGTGCCCAGTGCCCACCTGTGACTTCTGAATGTAGTCCACAGTACGGGGGATGTCCACTCCCCGCCAATCACCACGCCCACTACGCACCACTACGCTACGCACCACTCCCCACTACTCCCCACCAATCCCCACCACTCCGCCACCATGTGCCCAGTGCCCACCTGTGACTTCTGAATGTAGTCAACAGCACGGGGGATGTCCACTCCCCGCCAATCACCACGCCCACTACGCACCACTACGCTACGCACCACTCCCCACTACTCCCCACCAATCCCCACCACTCCGCCACCATGTGCCCAGTGCCCACCTGTGACTTCTGAATGTAGTCAACAGCACGGGGGATGTCCACTCCCCGCCAATCACCACGCCCACTACGCACCACTACGCTACGCACCACTCCCCACTACTCCCCACCAATCCCCACCACTCCGCCACCATGTGCCCAGTGCCCACCTGTGACTTCTGAATGTAGTCAACAGCACGGGGGATGTCCACTCCCCGCCAATCACCACGCCCACTACGCACCACTATGCTACGCACCACTCCCCACTACTCCCCACCAATCCCCACCACTCCCCCACCATGTGCCCAGTGCCCACCTGTGACCTCTGAATGTAGGCAACAGCACGGGGGATGTCCACTCCCCGCCAATCGCCAATCATGCTTGAAATGGCCGCTGCAGGGTTGGTTGTTCGGTTCAGGCAGGGTGAAGGGCAGAGGAGAACAAGGGAGACGATGCTGTGAGAGAGAGGTGACTTTTGAGTCGACTCAAAAGTCACCTAGTCGACTCAAAAGTCACCTAGTCGACTCAAAAGCCACCTAGTCGACTCAAAAGTCACCTTGAGTCGACTCAAAAGTCACCTTGAGTCGACTCAAAAGTCACCTTGAAGGGCAGAGGAGAACAAGGGAGAAGATGCTGTGAGAGAGAGACAGTGCGAATGAGCAACAAGAACCTCACTGACTGAACTGAATCACCAACATGGGCCAGGGAGGATGGGACAGGACGCTGAAAGAGAGACGGCAGACCACACATCAGCATTTCCGGATCCCAGCCATGATAAATCTACACGGCGATATTCCCACCCCTCACCACCCTTCACCCCCGCACCACCCTTCACCCCCGCACCACCCCTCACCACCCCTCACCACCCTTCACCCCCGCACCACCCCTCACCACCCCTCACCAGCGCAGAACACGAAGCGCATGTCGGACTCACTCCCACATGCAACCGGCATGAAACTGGAGGGAGGGAAGAACGGCGTGGGCGGAGTCAGGCGGGATGGGAGGAATGAGGAATCGCGGAAGGTGAAAAGCTGAAAGATGGAACTGAAGTGGCAAGTGAAGGGTTCAGGCATGCGTGCGGCACGGGAAGCAGGGGGGGCCTTCGTAGGGGTATTTACCAGGAAGAAAGGAAGTGCTAGCATCAACTGGAAACCTAGAGCAGCCCAGAGCAGCCCAAAGCAATCACCCGCTGCAATCAACACTTCAACTTACCTCCCATCCTGCAGCTGCAGCTCTCGCAGCGACTTTGCCATTCCTCGCACCTCCCCCACTCTATTACAAGCTGCTGTGGCATCCACTCCGTCCCCGCCCCTTGCACACACCCCATCCTCCCACCTGTCAAGCACCCCGTTCCCATCCTCACCCCTTGCACCCACTCCCTCGCTGCTTCTCTCATCCACCTGCTCCCCGAGCAGCCCTGCACCCCCTCTAGATGACTCCTCCGCAGGATGTTGGCGCACGTCGGGTAAGCTGCCAGCGGCATTGCCAGCGGCACTGCCAGTGGCAGTGCCATGAGTGGGAGCAGGCTCCGTTAGGGTGGCGAGGATGGCGAGGGCAGTGTAGGTCATGGCCATGTGGCTGCAGTCGTAGGGGGACTGCTTGGGCGCCTGGAGATGACAAGGGTGTTATGAGGGGTACAAAGAGGTGCAAGATCCTTGATGCCCTGCGACTAGGAGCAGCCTCCGCTAGGGTGGTGAGGACGGCGAGGGCAGTGTAGGTCATGGTCATGTGGCTGCAGTCGTAGGGCGACCGTTTGGGCGCCTGTGAGAGGTACGAAGAGGTGCAAAGAGGTGAAAAGAGACACAATTACGTGTAAAGAGGTAAAAAGGGCTGCAAGGGGAGGCAAACATGTACAAAGTGGTGCAAACCCAATGACTCACCGAGGCATGCAGCACAGAGACTCACCCCTTGAGTGCTGTACTCCACGCCAATGGAAGGGGAGGCAAACATGTACAAAGTGGTGCAAACCCAATGACTCACCGAGGCATGCAGCACAGAGACTCACCCCTTGAGTGCTGTACTCCACGCCAATGGAAGGGGAGCCTCGAAACCCTAGCACCTCTGCACCCAGGCACAAAGGACCATTGCTGCTTTTGCCACACACTGCTGCTGTTTCCGGTTCCCGTGCCATGCTGCTGCTGCTGCTGTTGTTTCTCGGAGCCACGTCAGCACCACCTTGCATGGATAAGGTTGACACGTCCGCGTCAGGTTGCACAGAAAGCGTCGAGATGGACGCAGCGGCTTCGGCGATTAGAGGGGGAGTGGTGGTGGTAACAGAATCCGTTACAGGGTTACCACCATTGGCCTTTTTCGCCTGGGTCATTTCAGGGTCCAGGACCTTCAGGGAATGCAACCAGTTGAGAATCTTCTGGCGATCCACCTGAAACATTAGATTTTAAGGGTCAAAGGGAAAAATAGAGTGTGGTTAGCTGAAGGGTTACAGGGTTACCACCATCAGCTTTCCTCGCCTGGGTACATTCAGGGTCCAGGACCTTCAGGGAATGCACCCAGTGGAGTATCTTCTGGCGATCCACCTGAAACAACCAAGCACGGGATAGAAGTAAATACGTGTATGTGAATTTGCAACAGGGTTACCAGTCTTCTTCGCCTCCAGGACCTTGAGGGAATGCACCCAGTTGAGAATCTTCTGGCGATCCACCTGAGACATTAGATTCAGGGTCAAGGGAAACAAGGGTCTGGTTCGCTGAACGGTTACAGGGTTTTCACCATCAGCCTTCTTCGCCTGGGTACATTCAGGATCCAGAACCTTGAGGGAATGCACCCAGTTGATAATCGTTTGTCTATCCACCTGAGACAAGCAAATCGAGCGTGGAATTGGAGGAGATTTGTGTACGTGGATTTGTAACAGGGTTACAACGCTTATAACGCGTACGCACCTTATCAAGAGCTTGCAGGAGATCCAGAGCGACGATGGGGAAGTAAGCCAGCGTGACTCGAATAAGCGCACGGTGTAGATGCATACAATGCTGATGCTTACAACGCGTACTCGCCTTGTCAAGAGCTTGCATGAGATCCAGAGCGACGATGCAGAAGTAAGCCAACGTAAGCCGATTGCTCTCCTGCGACTCGTACGCGGCGGGAAGACCGTTGAGACAGTTAACGAAGTAAAACACGTGGCGATCACGCTCGAAGCGCGGGCCAGCTTCAGGCGCGTCTTCTGCTGATGACGACATTACGTAAAAAAAACCTAATGAATTTGCCTGATCAGCAAAATGTGGATTCGGATAGTGATGCGTTAAACTTCTGTTGTCATAACTGCAACACGCATCCAGGCCTTATGGAGGTCGCGGACCGCGGGGTCTTGGTGAGGTGAAGCACAAAGAGTGAAGTACTCGAGGAAGGAGAACCTTGGTGGACAGACCAATGATGATGGCGCATATGAATTTCGCAGGTAGTGCTAGGCCGTAGTTCCCAAGGTCGGAATCTGAACAATTTCCGCACTCGACCGTCCTGGAATAACATGCTACCGTGCAAATCTCTCTCGAACTGCGGACTTCCGCGCGCTCCCATTCCTCGTGATGTATGCCATCCCCTTCCAGCCAGAATGTTGACAGGGGGCGCGAAGATGTGTGTGTTAGGAAGTGGTAACCCGGGATACCGGCTGACGAAAGTATCTGGCGAAACTGACGAGGTCTGAGCTTGCTGAGCTGACTGCCATAGTTTCGCTTACGTGACGGACTTGCTAAATTGGGAGTCTCAAAATCAAGAGGATATGCCTCAATACCGCATCATATTTAGTGTGAAAGCAAACCCACCCACAATGAAGCACCTGCTCAGTTACTATAATCTCTTACCCCCTCTTTTAGCTCCTTTATCATCTGACCAAAACTTAGTTCCCCCTTCAGCCTCAACCACCCACCCTTCCGCTCCAGACACCCCTTCACCAGCTTTTGCTTTTTGTGATCCTTCTCCACCCTTCTTCCACAACCTAACTTTTTCAGGGGCAGGCAAAGATTTCTGAATGCCTCTTGTGCTGCCCCGGGTAGAAGAAACACCAGTGTACACTGAAGCTGCTGAAACATAACCTCTTTTAGACGATGCCGAAGACGACAATAATGAGGATGGCGAGTGCGAAGAAGTGGCAGGGGGACTGCTACCCTGCTCTGCTAGGTGTCGCCACCTGATTCGTGGAGCTGTCAGGTGGGTTCTGTGCAAGTCAACCTGAACTTCAGAATGCAGGAGAGCTTCAGATCGCTGCAGCCAGATAACACCTCCCCCTGCTCTCACCTGCCCGTCCATACTCGGGCATGATGCTGAGATCGGCCCAACCAATGAGATTTCTCCACGTGGCACATTCCACTCGAATCCTCCTGCACACTCCACTCCTGTCCAAGCACTCTCGTTCCCTTTCCCACTCTTCCCCCCATCCCTCCGCTTCAAACCTCCACCACTACCTGCCAACCCATGCCGGCCATGCCCTACCGCCCCCTGCTGCTGCCGTTGACTACTTTCAGCATCCTTGATCAGCCTCGAGATACCTCTTAACGAGCCAGAAACTAACGAGGATGGCAGGCTGACCCAGCCTTTGACAGGGCCCTGTGCCACCACGCAAGCATCAGCAGTCAGCCACCAGGGTGCTGCGCTTGGCTGCTGCTCTTGATGAGTCACAACTTGCTCTTGCTGCTCCTGCAGCTGGGACTGTTGCTGCTGGAAAGCTGGCCCATATTGTTGCTTCTGCAATTCCCCTTCGTCATGCCGAAACTCATCTCTCCTGTCTCTCCTATCACTCCTCTCATCTCTCACCAAGCTGCTCATTGTTTCACTTGCCCGCACTCTCGAATCATCCAACTCCTTTTCACATGAGACCTGCGACTCTGCTGCTCCTGCTGCACCTGCACCTGCTCCTGTTGGGCTGGAGTCTGGTTGAGAGGAATCAGACTGAGCGAGAGCAAGGGACGCTCGAGTGATGGTGACACGAGACAGAGTCACGTGGAAGGTTCCAGGAAGGCTGCAGCTGACAGAGTCTGTGAGCAAAAGGCGGGATTCAGGGCCATCCCAACTCTGCGTGTGCGGGGAAGGGAATGGGAAAGGGGGAGGTAAAAAGGGAGGAAGAGGGAGGATAGGATTGGGTAGTATGGTACTGGAATACTGAGAGGCATTTTAGATCTGTGTGAGGATGACAAAGTAGCAGGTGGAAGTGCAGAAGGGTTGAAAAGGGAAAGCATACTCACAAGATGGCCTGACGCGAATTGTGCTCCTGACTGTGAATCTGTTACAAGCACGTTCCCTGCATTCACAGCAATAATAATGAAGATACACAGCTTAGTTCTCTGTTCACTGCATTTGCGCTTCCCATATGCTTAATTTCACCAGGGACCTTCACTTCACCAGTGACGTTGATTGTGGAATCCAATGCTTGTGCTGAGTCGCCTTTAAACGCGTACAGAGGCCTGCCATCCTGAAACAGGTGCCCTTCTACCTGATGGTGGTGAGACAGAGGAGGAGACGCGCGGAGAGGAGAGGAGAGGAGAGGAGAGTTGACTTTGGAGTCGACTCAAAAGTAAACTTCGTCCTGAAGTCTACTTCGTCCTGAAGTCTACTTCGTCCTGAAGTCTACTTCGTCCTGAAGTCTACTTCGTCCTGAAGTCTACTTCGTCCTGAAGCCTACTTCGTCCTGAAGTCTACTTCGTCCTGAAGCCTACTTCGTCCTGAAGTCAACAGGTGCCCTTCGACCTGATGGTGGTGAGACAGAGGAGGAGACGAGTGGAGAGGAGAGGAGGGAAGAATCTCGTGAGAGACAGCACCTGAAGGACGGCGAGAGATGAACAGAAGCAGGATCCAAGAAAAAACCCTTTTAAAGAAGGGCATTGATGTAAGGGAGGGGATTAAGTGATGCATTGAGGGCATTGATGAATTAATTATGTAAGTACCTTGGTCGCCACGACACCACCTTCCGCCATTCCTTGCGCTTCTCTCTCATCCTTCCACTCCCTATCCACGTTCTCCTTCCCCCTCCCCTCCCCCTCCCCGCGCCTCTCCGCTTCCCCCGCCCCGCCGGAGCGCAGAGAATCGGCGCGCAGCGACCACGCCAGCTGGCAGCCGCTCATAGGATCTCCCGTGCTGACGAATCGCTGGACAATCACGCCTCGCGCGGAGAGCGAAGCGGAAGGAGCGCCGTCACCACCGCTCCCGACATTCCCGCTGCTGCCATTTCCCGCGGTGACCCTACTCGTTTCGGTTTTGTTTGCTGGGAGCTTACGACTTTCGCGAATTGTGCTCTTCAGACGCCGGATCTGTTCGTATACATTTCGCGAATGCTCGCCAAGCGCGAAAATGCGCTGCGATATGTGGTCGCGAAACGCCCGTAACGAATCGTCACGACCGCTTACCCCAAATACGCCGGCCATGCGTACTGGAATCACACGGACAAAGCAGAACTCGGAACATATAAGGATTCGGGAAATACTTGATTATGGAGCAAATGCGAGATGGAATGCTGGAGAAATGTGCTTTCTTGGTCAGCTGAATGAAAGAGTTGGCACCTGAGTTGTCAATTTCTCGATGTTAGCTCCTTCGATTTCAGTGGAGACAAGCCGAACTGCCGAACACTATTTCAGACGGAACTTTTCATTGTTCATTAAGCATGAATACAATGCTTCTAACAATCGTACCTTCACTGTGACGTCCGTCTTGTTTCCGTGCTTTCCGGGGACCTTGGAATTGGCAGTGGATGTGCCTCCGTGTTGAAAACGTATTTGTCAAATGGAAGAACGTCGTTCTCCCCAAATAGGAGGTAGAAATACTTGAGGGTTTCCCCGAGGAAAAACGTTTCCATCTTGTTGCGCTTGGGCGGGGGCACCCGAGAGACATCGTCGAGCGAAGTGTATCCGCCTGTTGCCACACGTGTATGCTTTTCAAATGCTTGGAACATCTTCCACCCCACCTCGCGATACCTGCAGTTCATGTGACAAAAAAACAACAAAATGGTGATGCGATAACATGAGAAGGTTACCCATGCAGAATGGCAGGGTGTGGATCATATTAAACCCCAAGATACGCCATAAGCGATGCGACTCAAACTCAAAGAACATACCCTACCCTACTCCCAGTGACTTGGTGCATGCACAGAAGCGCCTCCATTGCGTCGAGTGACGAGTCTCTCTCTCACACACAAGCGCCATGGGTACCCAGACACACCTCGACCTGCCTCCACCATTTGGGGCACCAGCAGGCTTCCAGTAACCAGGTTACATACCGTGGGTTCCCAGTGACCCGGTGCATATAAAGCAGCGCCTCCACTGTCTCTGGTCGCAGTAGGTTGTGCCGGTCTGCCTGGTGGATCTGAATGTCTCTCCCATACTC